GAGTTAATGGGTGCAGCACACCAACATGGCACATGTATACATATGTAACAAACCTGCACCTTGTGCACATGTACCCTAGAACTTAAAGTATAATAAAAAAATAAAAAATAAATGTGTGTCCCTCCAGTGCCCCTTGCCCCTTGTTCTCCCAAGCACCAGGGGACCCCGGTCTTAGATTCAAGTTGCATCACTAGCATAACCAGCTCCGGGAACCAGAGGGACACTGGAGGAACTAGTTTGGGAAATGAAACACATCAGCAAATGAGAAGTAATTTTATTCTCCTTTTCCTTTTACCCTAGTCTCACTCTCCATAGTAGGACCTGGATCTTTGCATCAGAGAAAACATAATGAACAATAACTCTAATGTGTCTTTCTTTCTTTTCTGCCCTAGTATTACTAGAACCTTTGCATCGGGGAAAACAGAAAAGGTGATCTTTCAAGCACTCAAGGAGTTAGGTCTTCCCAGTGGAAAGGTATTCATTAACTTAACAATGTATTTCTAAAACCATTTTGTTTATTTATCTTCTCATATGTAATGAGCTAGATTTATATTAAACTGATCTCAATTAGATTTGGAATTATATGTCAGTGACATATAGTACAGTTAATTTTCTTTTCTTTCTTCTTCCTCCCTCTCCCTTTCTCTCTCCCTCCCTCCTTTCCTTCCTCCCTTCCTTCCTTTTGTTTCCTGGGCATTTTAACCTAAATCTCTAAAAATGTAAATAGTTTGCTTCGAATGATTTTTGTTACCTCTCTTAAGAAAAAGAAATGAAGGCCAGCTCGCTGTGTTACACAGTTTATTTTAAAGAAGCTCACCAACACTGCCTCAACCAGGCACAACATTAGCATGAATAAGTAACTAATAAATTCAGTTCTACAAGGTGGTTGTGCAATATTTTGTGAAGCATCTCTCCCCACACCATTTGTATTCATGGCCCTTCAAATTTAAAAAAATTGAAATTAATTTATTGACTTCAAGAAAGATTGAAGCCTGGTACTATTTTAATAAGTCCTATTTGAAATATAAATTTCAGTATGAAAAGTAAAATCTTACATGGTTACCCTAAGCCCCTTCACATGGTCTTGTGAAAATTCACTAAATAAGCATAATTAAACCTTGGGCTTGATTTATTCAGCATCCTTCAGGCAGACACTTTTCTCCCTCAAGGTGAGTTGGAGGAAATGTTTATATTCATTCTTTGGGGTATTTCCCAGAGCAAGCCCAGCTGTAGCCAGGTGTTCACACACACAGAATCTGGCAGCGTGATAACTAGAAAAACTGATGTACACGCACTGTTTTTTAGGGAGATGGCCTGGCAGTGCCTGCAAGTTGGCCTCCGGGCTTCTGTCAGCAGGAATCAGAGATGAAGGCCCTGAGTCCAAGTGGTCTTCACCTTGCTTCATGAACCTTCATAGATTCTCACCCTCCAAGGGAAAAAAGGTTCTGTGATTCATAACATGATTTTGTTCCTTACAGAACGATGAAATTGAGCCCACGGCATTTACTTACGAAAAGTTCTATGAACTGACACAAAAGATTTGTCCTCGGACAGATATAGAAGATCTTTTCAAAAAAATGTAAGTTCCACATATGAGGAAGTGTCATATAAATATTATCACTGTCCTTTTTTATTTTTAAAACGTTTTTGTCCTATTTTAATATAGTATGTTGGTAGTATCTAGGAATATCTAGTCAGGGTTACATTTTTCACCCCATAGTTTATCAGTGTAAAAGTTCACTCTGAGTTTTTGAGAAACTTTTACATACATTAATTGCAGCACCTGGAACTTTTTTTTTGCATTGGCTTTACTAACTACCTACAATTTTAACCTGCTCCTTTAGGTATTAACCCATTATGTGAACTAACTAGATTCAATTTGGAATGTTAATATGTTTTTGAAAAGTTCATTCATTCCAATTATTTCAAATGGATGACTTACATGTTGTTTTTGAAGTAACATCTTCTGAAAATGGTAAAAAAAATAAAAAACTAAAAAAATAAATTTGCAGACATTTTCTGTGACCTAGTGGGAGTGTTTTCTTTCTTTTGTTGTTGTTGTTGTTGTTGTATTTTTCTCCCCTTATGAACAGTCTCTGGCCATTTTAAGAATTCACCACTACTTGAGGGTTAGAAAATAAGTTTAGAATTATCATCAACAAATGTCAACATGTAAATCGTACCTACTGTAGCATCATATACAAAAACTTACTTTTTCTAATAAATTTCTTTTCAGCAATGGAGACAAAACTGATTATTTAACGGTAGACCAATTAGTGAGCTTTCTAAATGAAGTAAGCTTTTTCATACATTAACTCCATAAAGTCTGTGTGCAGTGGCTTGCCTTCTCTGGTGTCCTCATTGCATGCCTGCATCATATGCCCTTATTCGCTTTGCTTCTGACCTGCTGATCTTTCCATTATGGCTTTACCAGGTGCAAAAATCAGCTGCTGCCCTGTGTGTCCATGTGCTTTCTTCACGTTGGCTTTGCACACCGCTTTTTGTTGGTTTCTGGCTGTTATATGTAGCTCTGGTTCTGTGTGTATGTGTGAATTGTATAATATATTCATTTAAGTAAATGTGTCTTTGTTTTTGCAAGATGATATTTAAGGTACTTTTTTTTTCTATTGATCTCATTAAATAGAAAGAGAATGGATTGAGTTTACTAGACTGTAGTTGGATTCTCCATTGCTAACTTTATCTCATACCTTTGCATGGACTGGAAAGCTTTATTTTTGTCTTTTAATGGATTGCATGTAAGAAAAATATGTTGGCTCAAATAGAATATTTTGACAACAAGCAAAACACTTGAGTTCCTGGGTGAAAATATATTGAGTTTTAGGCCAATAGGATTGCAGGTTAAATTTGTACTTTTTCTTTTTATAACAAGCTCAGAGCTAATTTTATAATGTGATTAACGTAACAACCAAAACTGGTTGATAAAATTTGCTTAAGCACAAGAGAAAAACATTTTAGAACAAAAAAAGTTTGCAACTTTTATTACAACTAAAATGAACTACTTTTTTCTTCACACAAGCAAAAAAAGTTTTCCCCTCAGTGAAACCCATCAAGAATCTTGTTAATCCAAAATGGAAAATTCACTTTTTTTCTAACACGTTAATAAGAGTTTAAGTGAAGGATGGACAATATGCTTTTGTTTCAAAATAATTTAAGTTAATCATTATACCATATAAAGAGAAAATGCCAGAAAAGACGGTATCATGACAGATAAAAGGTATTATCTTAAGAAAAGATAAAAAGGCAGACCTTAATTTGCCACTTCATAGAGACAAATTACATCTTCTTTTCTTTCCTTGTGAAGGTTCAGTGACTTCAAATTTATAAAGGTTGCACTTTAGAAACTATGTTAACTAAAGTGTAAATGCACTGATGCAAGAAAGAGAAAGTCCTACCCCACATATCAGACAGATGCCTCTCAAATAATCCTTCATGTATAATACAGTGTTCATTTTACTTGAAAACATTTCAAGTTTTTCCACTCCACTGGTTTTTCGTCATATAAATACAATGTTCATAATCTTTACCCAGATATTATCCACATTCTTATGTCACAGCTGCTCAGAAGTTAAATTGCCTTGTTTTGTTTCTTTAACCCCTTCCCCCTCTTCTGCCTTTTGTTTTTTGGTTTCTTGTTTTGTTTTGTTTTATGTCCCTTGGCTTCTTCATGCACTTTGGTTCATTGATCATCTTAGGTTTGGTGAGGTGAAGAGGGAAGACAGTGTAGTGTAAAGGAGAAAATCTACCACATCTTCAGTTTGCCACTTTCCAAGACAAGGCCTCTTGTGCTCTTTGGGATGAAGCCCTCTATTAAACATTACAGAGACCTTAATGCTGCATTTCACTGTTCAAAGGATGAAACAACTCTGAGGTCCTGAGGATACGTGCAGTATTTATAGGCTCTTATCTGATGCATTTCCTTTTATGCGTTGTTTTTGTTGGTGTTCCCAATAGTCACTCCTGTAATTCTTAGACATAATATTTAATTTTTTAAAAATATCACCATCCATACTTTCTTGTTCTGCCATTCAGATTCTTTCTTAAAGTATTTATTATTTGTCAACCTTTTATCACTCACTATTACAGTAGACAATAGCATTCTTTTTTTTTTTAATAGTGTTTCCTTCTATTTGATGTCCTATTCACATTAAGGAAGCACTTTAAATTTTGGGGTATGACTGATGGAATCAGTGTGATTCTAGATTTCTTTAGATCATAGAGACTGTAAGACTGCTCAGGAACGATTTATTTTTAATCCAAGTGTCTACCCTGAATGTCTTCCTTTTCTATCCTAGTGAACTCAACTGGAAGAACTAGACAAAAAACTTGAATGTCTGCTTGAAGAAGGCTTGTCAAACATAGAGAACATTCTACCTGTCCCTTGCACCCCCTCTTTTGAGTCCTACCCTGGACCCTCTTACCTCTCCAAAATCAACAACACCCCTTGGGCAGAACAACTTCAAAAGGAGACAGAGAGAGCTCACTCAAGAAAGAATGGGCATTGGAATGTAAGAGTCTATGACTCCAAAAGTTTAAACCTAAACATTTTCAAAATGCCTTAGCCACATAGTCTCAACAAGCCAGTATCCAACACTGCATTGGAAGCCCCTGTGAAGGTTCCTTGTGAAGGTTCAATGGCTTCAGATTTATAAAGGTTGCACTTTAAAAACTATGTTAACTAAAGTGTAAATGCACTGATGCAAGAAAGAGCAAATACTACCCCACATATCAGACAGATCCCTCTACTTTTAAATCCTTTGAGTACAATACAATGTTTATTTTACTTGAAAACATTTCAAGTTTTTCCAGTCCACTGGTTCATATAATGAGACAAAATAAAAATAAAAAATAAGCAAGTCCCATGAACACTGGAAAGGACAGAGTCCTAGTCTCATTTGCAGATGCTGATTGTCTACCCTGATATAAACAATTCAACGGAAAAACTCTTTGAAGTAATTAGAGAGTTCAGCAAGGTAACCAGAGAAACAATGAGCAAAGCAAAAAACCAGGAGACACACATACACTACCATTAACCAGTTAGAATAGATAGTAGGAAAACCTAAATCCCATTTATATTAGCAAAAGACATGCTGGCTCCTACCACCTTCCAACTGGTAAATGCCTTCACTCTTTCTATGAAAGTTTTTATTCATATACTAATGTGTATCTTCAGGGGGCTGCAAGGAGAGGAGAGACTATATATATATAGTCCACTTACTGCTTTGTTCACCCTATAGGGTGACCTCCTCCCTATCTAGGCAATCAACACTGACTAGCTTTTCAGTAGTAGCTTTAGACCTGACTCCTCATTGGCTTCTCAGTATCTCCTTGTTCGTTGCTCCCCAAAGTGTGATCCATGGACCAAGAGCATCGGCACCCCTTGGGAGCTTATTAGAAATGCAGAGTCTTGGGTCCCATCAAGACCTCCTGAGTCAGAGTCTGAATTTAACAGGATCTCCAGGTGATTTATCTACAGGTTCAAGTGTGTAAAGCACCATCCTAGTGGATTACTGGATTCCTCCTTGGAATGTTTAGTGTGAGTGAGAAGAATATGAGAGTGAGGTACACCTGTTATTCTCCACTAAGAATTTAGCCATAGGAATCCACCACTCAGAGCTAAAATTTTGCCACGTCTATGTCTCTTAGTCTCATCCAATGGACTGAGAGAAATCTTCTTTGCCTATATTATGAAAATAGCAAACTAGACAACAGGAGGGATAGCAGAGGCACTTAATGTGAGCTGCCACATGGTGAGACACTACTACTAGCTCAATTGCTTGTATGTGGCAAGACTAGTTAAAATCTCTTGGCTTTGGTTAGTTTTACCTCCCTTTCCCTATTCCTAATGAGAAGCAAAATTGATTTTTAGTTTTACCTTCATTCTCTGTTTGACTTCTTACAAAGATGATAACTAGGGTCCTGTAGAATCGGGAGATGGGTTGAGGGCAGGAGAGAGAGATCAAAATAAGGAAGAGAGGAAAAAGGTCCACAGGAATCAAGAAGTAGCTTTACTTTCTTGTTGCTGGTAATCTTCCCCCTTCCTCACACATATCATAGGATCACAGCAGGGTTCAACCTGACTTTTTTCTTTTTGCAGATGAAAGAATATTTTAAAAGGACCCAGGATCTCTTTCCTTTTACAAGATCTTTATGCTTTAAGTGCACAGGCAGAGAGAGAAGGAGGGTATTTAGTCTTATGAATTAGCTTATCCTTGCCAATTATTCCTTCTATATTTAAAAAATATTATTTATGTCAACATTCATCTCTCCCAGTGCTACTTGGATTGAAGCCAGATGAGGCCTCTTCTCAGTACCAGTAAGGACATAATACTGGAGTTCTGTTCATCTCCTCCTTACTTACTTGGACACAATTCTGTCACCTCTTTTTGGAAGTCATTTAGAATCTCATTTTACAAAGCACTGGATACCATGGGGTGAATAACCTGAGTACCTTGTTTCCCCAAATCCTACCTGAAAACTGTTAGTTCCTCAGAGATGTGAAGCATTCACCTCACTGTGCTTGTGTCTATGTTGAACTCTACCACAGCCTTATTACTGTGAGAGCAGCTGGAAATGATCCTTCTCCTCTTGTTTTTTCATATGAAAATAATAGTTTTTTACTCTAATGTAAATCTTACATTTGTTTCCTTTCCTTCGGATTACCCAGATTGCTTTATGCTACCTTTTTGAAGCATGAAGGTTTTAGGGAGAGCTGAAGATTGTGGTCTAGTGGAGCAGAAGCAAAGACAAATGCAATTTCACATTGTCTGTGCTTCATGCTTATTTGCTGCAAATGTAATTTTCAGAATATGATACATCCATTTTAGGACTTGGTTTTCCTGGCTTTGGCTTCTCATAGGCAGGATGATCTAATGAATATCATACCCTCTGACTAAATTTTAATAGTGTTTAATTGGGAGGACATCTGAAACACTGAACATTCTTCTATCCTTCTGGGACTTAGGTACTTTTCTTTTTACTGATATGCGAATATGTTAAAATGCCTACCTTTATATGTTAGGTAAAGTGATTCTTATACTTGAGCACATCAGAATTACTCAGAAGTCTTATGAAAAACACAGATTAATGGATTCCACCCCAGAGATCAGTAGATTCAGTAGATCTAGGGAGGGACCTGAGAAGCTGCATTTCTAGCAAGTTGCCAGGCGTTGGTGAGGCTGATGCTATCATCCACAGATTACACCTCAGGTAGTACCTTGTCAGAATACACAAATGCATGTATATTTAGAAATGCACAAAAATGTCTGAGTTTTCTCTCCTTTCCTAATTTTTTCTCTTCTCTCTCCTGTAGCTGAATCCCTTTTTCCTTCATTTTTTAATTCATATGGATTTGCCCCATCATCTCACTGAGTTCAGAATATTTACCAACAAACATATTTTTTTTTAAAAAACTTAATTTTAATAAGGAAGAGAAAGTGGCCAACTATGAACATAACAGTGCTGGGGTCTAAAAAGGACCTTTTTCATCCTGTATTCATCTTCTTCCATGGTATTATTTATGGAGATGTGAGAAGGGATGTGCCTAGAAAGATGGGTTTTTTGTTGTTGTCAGTTTGTTTGTTTTTAAAACAATGCATTCTCACCAGAAGGATGGAGCTCCTTGTTTCCTTGAGTAGTGGGCTCCATTGCATGATGGCATCAATTTCCTGAACAAGGTGTAGCATGCCTTCACTTGCCTGGCATTCCATGGTCCACTTCACAATCCTCTTTCTCTGCATATCCCATAACTTTTGTTCCTGGTGGCCTCAAGGCCTGCTGTTAATATAAGTTTCTGTTCTAGCATATGCGTGAATGTGAGCTGTTGTGAGCCATAATTTTTTAGATTACAACAGAAGCATGCTTCATTGGGATAAGTTGATGAAATTTGATATTGATTCTTTATGAGTTAATGCTCTTAACTCAGTGGGGGAGAAGGGGACCCAGAAAAGGCTGGGCCCCGTATGCATGAGGAAATGACATCCAAGTGCTCTGTTGGCCAAAAGCATTCATTCTGTGTATAGCTCACTTTTCCAATGCCCATTCCAAAACAAATAGGGAAGGGAAATCCATATGAACTTTTAACAGTTACTTTTTAAATAACTTTCCAACAATGTTTTTCAGTCTGTGCATATATTTGGGTAAAGAGTTGTCACCAAGGTCCTCTTTATTGACCAGGTTTTGCTCACATCTGCTTATCTGTCATTATTCCATTGAAGTTTGCTTTATTTATTCATGTATTCATTTATTTATATAAGGGATGACCAGGGACACAGTGCTGTCCTCTAATCCTCAGTGAACAGAAAGGAAGTTTATTGGACCCACTGCCTACACACACACACACACACACAATTGGAGCTGAGTCAGTTAGTAAACTAGATTTTTCATCATTGCCATGAAGTTAGGATGACATCACTGCAGGGACAGCATTGCTCCTGGTGCCTCATGTCATAGCAGGAGCTCCTTAGGTGTCGATTTGAAAACAGTAATGTCACCAACCTCTTAAGTCCTGTAATCATTCATGGACCCTCTGCCCAGAGAATTCTATATTGTTTATAGCTTGTAAATATGCTTGTGCTGATTAATTTTCATCATTGCAATTGGTTCATTTTGAAAAAAAATAGTTACTCAAGAAAATGAAATTTGTTGAGGGCCCAAGAAATCATGGATTGACGTAGAAAGCTGTTATGAAAATGAGATAATGTTTGCCTGTGTAACATTAGGATTTTTCTTGTTACTACTTCTGGGGTTTTGGAGGGGCACTTAAATTAGTATATTACCTATTTATTTGAACTATTTTTGGGGGTTGGTGTTTGCTTTTTTAAAATATTTTGACCTCACATTTTATAGACATTTATGCCAAATGCCTTCCCTGTTGTGTGGGAACTGGAAGACAGTACAATTGACATGCACACTGTATTACGTGTCCTTCAACTTTTGAAGGGGAAAAATGTATTCTGTCTCTCTCTCTAGTTCGGGGAGACTAACCCAAAGTACTCCCAAATCTGGACTTTTTGAAGTGTATTTTAAGGAGAAAGGCAGGAAGGCAGTGAAGTCCTATCTTTGTAATTATAAATATGATAGTCTAGATATACTTTGTTTTATAAATTATAAACTTAGTAATGTCTAATGCCTCAAGGCTAAGAAATAGCAACCTAAATGGAGTTATTTTCTTATCATAGCATCAACGAGATCCTCGATTGAATGAAATTTTATTTCCATTTTATGATGCCAAAAGGGCAATGCAGATCATTGAGATGTATGAACCTGATGAAGATTTGAAGAAAAAAGGTAATAAACATGAAAAAGGACTTTTTTTCTTTAAAGCAAGAAAATATGCAACTTTTAAAGCCTTGATTTCTTTAAAGATATCTGTAACTGCTTTGGAACTCCCTAGAGCCATGGATTGATGACTGATTTTTTTTTTTTTCTACTCTTAAGTTCATATATATTTTAGCTTTCATCAGAATTAGCCCATGTTGACTGAAGTATATTGTGAAATTTATTGTATTATTAAATATATTATAGTGCTATTTCCCCATGTACTTTCTTATATTAGATTATGATATTGCATATTGCTTGAAATATTAAAACAACCAATACAGTCTCTACTTGCAATCTTTGAAAATAATTTCTGTCATATAAAAACTTACATGTCTTCTTTTTCTCCCTTTTGTTTTGCCAAGCCAAATAAATTTAATATGTGATTTGATATGCCCTCTCACTGCTCATTTAACCTCTGGTATGAAAGATAAATACAATTAATATGAAGTTAAATAGGAATCGCCTTAGCTAATTGCTGGTGTTTCTGGACCTTGGCCCCTTTAAAAGAAACTTTGGAAACAAAGGGTTGTTCTCTCAAATATTTGTCAAAGGAAAGGCATGGGGAGAAATTTTAAAATCAGTCCCATAGCAGTGAGAAATGCCTGCAGAACATGGGAGGGAGAGCTGGGGGTACCTGAGCTAGAGCCTTTGGTCTTATGTCTCAGTGGAGAATTTAAAGAGATGAAAGTTCAAGTTCCATCTGTCCCATATGTCCATGAATCTCAAGGCCTCAGTTTCCTCCTTTTTAGAATATATATTTTTCTTTATATCTAATGCCAGTGAGTGTGGCTGAATGGTCTATATGTTATCTGGATCCTCTTTATAGATATGCCTGGCCCTCTGCACTGCATGATTTCACCCCTGATATTTTTCCAAGCCCAGTAGTTTTCTGTTTGGTTGTAGTTGTGCATTTACACTTTCTGCTATGGCTGAAGATACCTGTTTTGCAAGAACGCTTCATTCCTTCCCTCTCTGTCAATATTCTGAATACCGTAATTTATTTCACGTTGCTTATGATTACAGCAAAGGGTGGTACAACTTGGTAGAAAAATCTAACACTTTATAGTGGCAGGAGGTGATATGATTCTTGTCACTTCCCTGTGACCTTGAGCTAGGAACTAGCCTCCTGGGGCCTCATTTTCCCTTCTTGTAAGGTGGTGGGCATCATGCAGTAATTTGGCTAGTGTTTCCCTTCCCTACCTTCATTCTTTGAAGTTCGTAGAGGGCTGACTGGGTGCCAAGCACTGTGCCAGATGCTAGGAATTCAAAACAATAAGAAATGTCCCCAACCTTGAAGGCAGTTGCCATCTGTTCAAGGAGAAAGACAAGTGATTCAACAATTCCGTGGCAGTGTGATAAATGTCATGATTGAGGTGTGTCCTTGTTTATTTCCAAATTCCTTCTAAGTTTTAAAGGTCTGTGAAGTGACCATTGACACATCAAAAAGGGTAGCTTGACCATTTCACAAGTGATGGAAATTTTAATATCTGTCATTTTCAAGTGTGGGTGAGAATGCAGTACAAAGCCATTCTTACAAACTTCTGGTAAGACCCTACATTGGTACAACCATCTTGCGGAATATTTTGGCAATAGTTTATAAAGTGAAAAATATGCCTCTTATACAGCCCAGCATTTTCACTGCTAGGTATGTACCCTAGAGAATCTGTCATACATTCCCCAGACTCTGGATGCCAGAGCGGCACAGTTCTCAGATCTCTGCTCCATCTATACTCACTGTGTACCTGAGCTCATCCAAGCCAATGGCTTTACATTTCTTCTATTAAACTCTCCGGTCCTAACCTCCAGCTTACACTACAGACCTGTAGTAGAACTCTCCATTTGGATGCTGAATGGGCATTTCCAATGTATATATACAACATATTTTGATCCTTCCTACCCCTAGATCTGTTCCTTTCGAAGCCTATAAAATAGTACCATTATTTACCCAGTCAAAACCACTGGGCTCATGTTGAACTTGTTTCATTCTTTCACATCATGTCTGGTTCATTTGCAAAACCTGTAAGATCCAGCCTCAAAAGAAATCCTAAATAAATCACTTCTCACCATCTCCAGCATTACCGACTATCCAAGCCTTCATCATCCCTCTCCAAGCAACGCCTTCTCCTTCCTACTCAGTGCCCTACAATTTATGCTCCACACAACAGCCAGAGTAAATCTTTTAAAACCAAATCTAATCATGTTATTCCACCCTTCGAAACCCTCAAAGGCTTCCCAACACATTTAGAATAAAATCTAAAGCACTTAGTGAGGGCCAAAGTCCAACTAACATAGCCTTTGGCTCCATCTCCAACCTCATTTCAGGCTACATTTTTCCTTGGTCACTTGCTCTGTCTTGCTGTCATTGAATGATGTTGGCATGCACACACCTGCATCAAGGTCTTTGCACTTACTGATCCTTCTCCCTGGACTGGTGTTTCCTGGGTATGCGTGTGACTTGCTCCTCACACATGTACGTGACCTCAGAAGTGCTTTCACTGGCCCATATTTAACACGGCATACTGTCATGCTTTATCACCTTCCTTCCTGCTTTTTCTGTCCTTCTAGTACTTCTTTGACATTATAGTTATTTGTTTACTTATTTGTTTCTGTCACTCATAATATGAGAGTTTCATGAAGGCAGGGCTTACCTGTTTCTTCTATCACTGCATCTATCCTGGTGCCTCTAAAAGTACTTGCTCTTTAGAATGAATGAAGGTACCCAAGGAGAAAGGTATACAAATTTCTACTTTCATGTATAATTAGAAATGACCTAACTATCCATCAACAAAATAATGGATAATAAATTATAATATATTCATATATGGACTTCTGTGCCTTCAGTGAAAAATGAATGAACAAGATCTACTTGTATAACTGGTATATAAAGATAAAAATAGCAAGTTGCAAATGCACACAGTGGGATAGCTTTTATGTAAAATTGAGAACAGCCCAAACTACCTGTTGTTTGGATAAATGCATATGTAGTAAGATTGCAAAACCATTTTTGGGGTAAACACCAAAAGTAGAGTAGTAGTTATCTATCTGGTATGGAATGGAATTGAGGTGGGGTATACAGGATGCTTCAGTGGCATCAAGAATTATGTATTATTTTAAATGTAAATCAAATAATCAAAAATGTAAATCAAATAAGGCAAAATGTTGAGATCTGACCACACTAGTGTAGGTCCATGGCTATTCATTATGCTATCATCTGAACACTTCTGTAAGCTTGAAATCAGTTCATAACTTGCAAGTTCTTAAATAAAACAAAAAGTTGAAGCTGTCGATGCATCAACCATTTATAAGTTGCGTAAATACTGATTGTGGCTCCTGTAGTTACCACATGGGCTCTACCCCATGTCAGAAAGGTGTGATTGAAATGAAGGGTGCCTTTTGGGGCCACGTTTCAATGACCACTGTATACTCTTCTCACCAGTCCCATAACCTGACTTTTAGATAAAATTGAAAACTGAATTATTTAAATTCAGAAGCGCCATCATCTCCAAGAAAAATCCCTTTTCCAATTCAGTGAGAACAATAATGTCTTATAATTAATACATTTTCCATTTTTAAAGAGCACCTCTCATATCTATTCCCCTTATTTCCCATTATGATGATCTTGGAAGTCAGATAGGGCCAGTCTTTTTCCCCAATTGACAAAAGAAGGAGCTGAGACCCAGGAGCCAAAGGAGTGAGTAGCAAGAGCAGAACATGATACAGGTCCCGTGGACCCCTGGTCACCATACCTCCCCAGTGTTGTGTTTCTGAACTTGGGGGACCATGTACCTCTGCCATCATGGATGTAAAAGCAAAATGCCACCTGTGTGTGGAATTCATTATGTTACTTATAATGTGCAACTCTCTTATTTCATTCAAGTTCTGACAGATGAAGGTTCTTGGGAAAGAGACTATGAAGAAGTTTTTACCCTTATAATTTAAGCTGCCTCAACTTCCACGAATAAAACATGAGATGTGCATCTTCAGAGCTACAAGTGCTACTAAGATGTTCTTTTTCCCCTAGGCCTTATATCAAGTGATGGGTTTTGCAGATATCTGATGTCAGATGAAAACGCCCCAGTCTTCCTAGATCGTTTAGAACTTTACCAAGAAATGGACCATCCTCTGGCTCACTACTTCATCAGTTCTTCCCATAACACTTATCTGACTGGCAGACAGTTCGGTGGGAAGTCTTCGGTAGAAATGTACAGACAGGTTCTCCTGGCTGGTTGCAGGTGAGGAACTAAGATGGCAATTTGTTTTTTGTGTGTGATGCCCTTTAGTTTAATTTACTTTTCTCTGAAAAATAGGAAATAGTAATCAGGATGAAAAGGACATTTGTTTATTCCCTTTAATGGATTATCATGGTCATTTAACCTTGAGAAAAGGGCAATATCTCTTCCAGAAAAACCACTGGGCTCATGTTGAACTTGTTTTATTCTTTCACATCATGTCTGGTTCATTTGCAAAACCTGTAAGATCCAGCCTCAAAAGATCTACAGTCATCCAAAAGACTTTACTGTAAAAAGACTTTTCTTTACTGTAAATTTAAAATATGCCCCCAAAACCACAAAAAAGAAAACATGCATATTGTAAGAAGTCATGTTGAGTTTTCTGTTGATTATAGGTATTTGTTATTAGCGCCATGCTCTAACCAATTGAGCTAACTGGCCATTGATTATAGGTATTTGTAAATTAGCTTTATTTGATGTAAAATTTAAAAATTTAGTTTTCTGAGAATAGAAATTATTGAAAATAGTTTTTGTTTTATAGAAACTGACAAATATTTCAGGTTTAAAATATGGCAAAAGTAATGAAAGTGAAACATAAGAAATGTAGTTACATTATGATTTTTTTTCTTGGTTATCAATTAAATAATATTTTCTTTTAACTCACTATTTTTTTGGTTATGGAAATGCGTTGAAAGAAATTAACTGTGTTACTACTTCCATTTGCATATTTCCTCTGAATACTTGAGTATGAATCACTAAACATTTTCTGGAATGGCCAAAGTAACATCATCCAGCCTATCAAAATTAATAGTAATTTTGATGTTATCAAAAATCCAGCCCACATTCATATTTCCCCAGTTGTCCCCAACCAAATTGTCTTTTTTTTTCTTTTCTTTTTTTTTTAAATTGAGACAGAGTTTTACTTTGTTGCCCAGGCTGGAGTGCAGTGGCGTGATGTCGGCTCACTGGAACCTCCCCTCCTGGGTTCAAGAAATTCTCATGCCTCAGCCTCCCAGGTAGCTGGGATTATAGCCTCCCAAGTAGCCATCACACCTGGCTAATTTTTGTATTTTTAGTAGAGATAGGGTTTTGCTGTGTTGGCCAGGCTGGTCTCCAGCTCCTGACCTCAAGTGATCCGCCCGCCTCGGCCTCACCACGCCTGGCCCCCAAATTGTCCCTTATTGCAGCTTTGTCACAAGTAGGATTTCATCCAGAACCATGATGCTTGTTATATTTCTTAAGTCTCTTAATCTCACTCAGACAATCCCTTTTTGATAATACCAACCAGATGAGGAGTATAATGTAGTTTTTACCTGTATATGCCATGAAATAATCAGGTTACTTATTCAATTTTCTGTTCTGTAAGAAAACAACTTATTTTTATGTCTTTCTTTTAATTTGTATACACACTATTTTATTGTAAAGTTTCAATATTGTAACTTCACTATGTCCCTAGATGTGTTGAACTTGACTGCTGGGATGGAAAAGGTGAAGACCAAGAACCAATAATAACTCATGGAAAAGCAATGTGTACAGATATCCTTTTTAAGGTAACTTTTAAAATAATTACACAGACTTTTCCAAACTCTGTAAAAATGCAGGAAATAGGGAGATGGAGAAGAGAAAACAAATGATTCGTTTTCTCAAGCATTGTACCTTCATATTTTCTTCTTTCAGTCTTGAGGAAAAAGTCAAGACAAAGATCTTTTCCACTGAATGTCCCCTTCATGATACTTTTCCTGCTTTCAAATGGTGACTGTGTTATGTAACAAGGTTTCTCTGGCAGAGTTTACCTAGTTTTACTTACCTTAAAAATAATATCTCCTTTTGTTATGTACTTATTTGCTTATTTACTTTGTATTATTCCTAAAGGACTTCAAGGTGGCAGAAAAAAATAAATAGAATACAGGAATAAAATACACGGTAAATAGGGCCTATACAAATAGGATAGGCTGGGTGTGGTGGCTCACGCCTGTAATCCCAGCACTTTGGGAAGCTGAGGTGGGCAGATCACCTGAGGTCGGGAGTTGGAGACCAGCCTGACCAACATGGAGAAACCCTGTCTCTAACAAAAGTGCAAAATTAGCCAGTCATGGTGATGCATGTCTGTAATCCCAGCTACTCGGGAGGCTGAGGCAAGAGAATCGCTTGAACCTGAGAGGTGGAGGTTGCAGTGAGCCAAGATTGCACCGTTGCATTCTAGCCTGGGCAACAAGAGCGAAACTCCATCTCAATAAATAAATAAAATAATAAGAGAATAAGATAATGAGGTTAGACAAATCAAAAGAATGAAATTCTGTGGTTGGCGAATGTCAGCTACAGCTGTCTGTCAGTTTGGTGTAACTCAGGATAGATATTACAACACCAGGAGCAGCAGTTTTCAACTCCACCTACATGTGAAACAGCACCATGGGTATTTTCAACAACACAGGTGCCACTGGGCATGGTGGCTCACGCCTGTAATCCCACCACTTTGGGTGGTGGAGGCAGGTGGATCACTTGACATCAGGAGTTTGAGATCAGCCTGGCCAACATGGTAAAACCCAGTCTCTACTAAAAATACAAAAATTAGCTGGTGTGGTGGCGAGCACCTGTAATCCCAGCTGAGGCGGAGGCAGGAGAATTGCTTGAACCCGGGAGGCGGAGGTTGCAGTGAGCCCAGATCATGCCATTGCTCTCCAGCCTCAGCAACAGAGAGAGACTCTATCTCAAAACACACACACACACACACACACACACACACACAGATGTCTAGATGCTATGCATAGTATTTTTCTTAGCCAAGATGTTGGAGAGTTTTGACCAGCAATGAATTCAAGATAATATTTCCTGATATGTACCAAGAGTATATTCAAGTGGGAAGCCATGAATTTGCACAGCCAGGAAGAATAACTAAATGACTACCATAAGGAATGCCTCAATAAAATATTTCAAGATTATCTAACCTCGGGCTTTATCATGTCAAATGGATTTGCCTAGATAACTATTGTGAAATATTTTTCTGATTAACTGAATGACGAGATTTGCCCTGTAATTAGCTACAAACCACTAAGAATTTGGGGATTTTTACCAAATACAATGCTCTGGTTGTAGAAGTGCTGATTTGAAGCCTTCCTTTCTCAAGCTAAGCAGAGGCAGGGCCAACCGTCTCTTAAAGCCTCTCCTATTTCATGGAGAATAGTGAAAAGGGAAGATTATGTTTAGCTCCTTCAAATGTTGTTTTCTGTAATTAAGCTCTGCGTTACAGATGGGGGGTCCAGAACACTTTACTGATTCACTTACATGTTGTCTGACCAACCAGAACCCCTTCCCTCGACCTTGTAACCAGGCTAATAGGAAACAAGGGATACTGTAAATGTCACATGAATACACAGAGGTCTACATCAAGTTAATGAAGTATAACCCAAGACTGATTTCCAAACACAGAGGAAAGTCAGTAAAAGCCTCCAACAGTCCTTAGGTTACTGCCCACAGTTTCCTGCACGAGGTGGGGAGGAATCATACAGTGGTCTGGAGTGAGAGCCTCTGTGCCAGAGATCACCTGCTCCTCAAGAAGAAAGGTGGACTCTGAACTCCTGGCTTGGCAGATTAACAAGCCGGAAACTGGCATGCCACTTAGGTGAAATCTCTTGTAAGTTAATAGCACCATAATTCTGGAGAAGTAAAAGATAGCTTAAAAATTGTCATTAACCATTAACTGCACCGTGGCTGTAACCACAGGGAACTCAACCTGTAGAGGTATTGAGATAGATGGGGGCTCCAGGTCTGAATTGCTGGAACTGACTTCCTGAAAGACTCAATTAGTAGCCTCTGAATAGTGTTAGGTGCCTTAATTTTTTGGCTGTTTTCTCTCATTAACATTTTTTTTTTTGTCTTTAAAGGATGTAATTCAAGCCATCAAGGAAACTGCATTTGTCACATCAGAATATCCTGTAATTCTCTCCTTTGAAAATCACTGCAGGTATAATGATCCATTCTACCTCAAGTCTCTGTGTGGTATTGTTTCCTAACCCCTAATGCCCACTCCTGCTCTACATCTTTTTAAATAGCTGAGTAGTTTGTTTTGTGAAGTACCGAGTTCAAATAATCCTCCAGCAAGGACACCTACTCTTACGCAAAGCAAAAAACATTAAAAAAAAAAAAAAACATAAAAAAACCAGCCTTGCCCCCACCAAACCAAATCATTTTAATGTGTTTCAGAAATACTTGTTCCGAACAAAAGTTCAGAGATTGGGACACCTTACTTAAAGTTCCATTGAGTTGGAAGATGTGGCAGTATATTTGAAATCAAATTTGATTAACTTGAAAGACATTTTTTATTCTTCTTTCCAGCTCTTAGTTTTGGAACAGAATCTCCTTCTCCGTCTTTTAAAATTATACCAGTTAAAGTTTTTGGTACATCTCACATTAGCATTAAGAGGACAATCGTGCTTTTTGCCAAGTGAGAATCTTAATTGCCTAGGAATGGGTGCTTTTTATTCTTGGACGGTTAATGGGTGTTTGAATTTACAAATGCCACTTTTTTTTCTCTCCAGCAAATATCAACAGTACAAGATGTCCAAATATTGCGAAGATCTATTTGGGGATCTCCTGTTGAAACAAGCGCTTGAATCACATCCAGTATGTATTTTTAGCAAACCATATTTCTAGCATGAATGGATTTGTTTTGAAAATTTCTGAGGGGTCAAGTAGTACTGGAGGACTAATGCTAAAGATCTTCATATTTATTTAAATTCTTTGGTACAGAAAACTTACATCATGCTTCAGAGGGATGTAAAGAGACACAAAATAAACATCTGGTTCAATTTAATTTGGAGGATCTTTGGGTCTTATGGTTTTTCAGATCTCAGTCTTAAAATTTCATAAAGCACCCAGGCCAAGAGTCCAGATTCAGGTCAGTCATTCTCAACTTCAGTTACATGTTGGAATCACCTGCAAAACTGTTAAAAACTTACCTGTGCCAGGGCCCCACTCGGAGACTGGTTGAATTGATGCAGGGTCAGGCCTGAGCATGGTGTTTTAAAAGCCCTCCAGGTGAACTGTCTATGCACCCAGGATTCAGAACCCATGGGAGCCTGATGCTGTGGAAAGTGCCCTGAATTGATGTCATGGCATCCTGAAGTTCACATTCCTAACTCCAAAATAAATCATTGGGCAATGTTACACATGCATTTTTGAACTTCATTTTACACCTGCTAATTTCTTCATAAAGCGAAGAACATTAACCTGTGCTCCATAGACAGGCTTTATGAGATCTATGAATTCATTCTAATTGCATGCAATTTTTTTGTATATACTCATTCTAGAGAGTTAATCACATTTTTATAAGGATCCATGACCTCCAAGAAATTAAGATCCACAGTCACAAGATGTTATGAGCTCCAAGGCAGCTAATGAAATCAAAGCAGAAAGAACTGCTATTGACAAGCAGCACCTGATGGGCTCAAACCCGGTAGCTTGAGGTAGTGGCATAAGAACATCACAGCAAGTGACAGCAGGAAGGTTCTATGTACTGCATGTAAACACTTTAGGTGGTTTAACAATGAGGTTCTTTTCAGAAGTGTGTCTATGGGAACTGAAAAAAAAATGTGAGAGACAAGGATATCTGTATCCTTTGCCCCCCTTCCTTCTTCTCTTGAACTTGCAGAAGCAGTTGCTGCAGGTGACCTGCCCATATCCTTACAGTGCCTCCTGTTTCCCTGAACACTGGCCTGACTTTCCACTGCCAACTTCCACAGCTTCTTGCCTGAGAGTGAGCTCTGGTCACTGGAGCCTGCTCTGCCACACATGAAAGATAGACCAGCAGTGCCAGGGAATTATCATCCTCTCCCATGCTTCATCCTTCCTGAGGTGGGATAACCCTGAGCACCTGCTCTTCTCTGCCTCCCAGGGTTTCCCAGCAGAATCGTGCTCCAGGTGGCTGCAGTGATAAACTTGCTTGGTAACACACCCTTGATGGGCCGCCTGTCTTCTTTTTCTCATTTCCCCACACCTCTGTTGGAGTTTCCTTCCAAGTAGATGACCTGGTGCAATAATACTTTTCTCTGAGGCTGTTTCTAAGGGAACCCAAACAAGAAACAGCTCTGATTTATTTTATTTATTTATTTTTACCTAGGCCCTCTGTTTATTTTCCTGATTGGGTTAAGGTGATTGCTTTTGTGGAAAGATCACTGTATTCTTAGTGAAGTGATGTGCACATATTCTTTCCAGCTGAAGGGTGTCCAGGTTCTTGGCATCTTGAACAAAGAATTGGGCAAAATGCACAAACAAAGCAAGGAAAGAATGAAGCAACAAAAGCAGAGATTTATTGAAAATGAAAGTACACTCCGCAGGGTGGGAGGGGCCTGAGCAGAGGGGCTCAAGAGCCCCGTTACAGAATTTTCTGGGGTTTAAATACCCTCTAGAAGTTTCCATTGGTTACTTGGTGTCTGCCCTATGTAAGTGAATAGGATGAAGTAAAGTTATAAAGTCATTTACTCAGTGTACATCCCATGTAAATGGAGAGGATATTTCCCATCGTAGCTGAAGTGTTTCCATTTGATTTAGTTCTAGGAAGTCAGCATGAATAGGCCTTACATTCCCTGCCTCTAGACCCTGTTCTCCTTTGAATACAGGACAGGTGTTTTGGGAAGCATAGGTAATATAAATGGGAATAAGACCTGCTCCTGGAGCTAAAGAGCTTTCAACCTTGGGAGTGGGAGGAGGACACAAACGTGAACACATAACTAGAAAAGAAGGTGGCTTATGATGCTTTATTTGTTGGAGGTGTCCTGGTACAAGAGAGGTCACTGGGGAATGGGCCAGTGATCTTCCTTATACCAGGCTGCTGGAAGGAAACAGCATTTCAACAAAGGGTTTTATTGGAGGCAAGACAGACATATGAGTGCACAGTGCCTTACATATAATAAGTAGTATAAAAGCAAGTTTTAAAAATGAATGGATGGGTGGAAGGGGGGGTGGGTGGGCATATAGAGAGATGGGTGGAGGAATGGGAAATGGATGACTAGATACAGGACGATTCTGTAGATCAGAGGTGACAGCATGCAGGGACATCTCCTTTGCATATATGAATCTAAGCAAATGATGCTGTAGTCAAGTTCAGATTCCAGGAATTGGAACAACTCTGTTCTTGATTCCCTTATCAAACCCACTAAACCACAATCTCAAGTGTTGAGGGTTGGGTCAGCCTACTGAGCAGACAGGTTTACTATACAGCCTGACCCTTGGGAGGATTTGGGGGGGCCTCTAACTTGGGAAAGCCAATTCTGACCCCAGCCGTCAATCATCCCTTGCACTTTACCAGATACTTAAAAGGTGCAAGGCCCTCAGGGGAGCAGGAACCCCTCCCCCGCACACCCTGGGCCAGACCCCTGCTCCACTGGGGAGGTTGGAGCAGCTCTGCACACCTCTGGAAACTATGTGGATTTCAAGTTTGCAGCACTGGTCCAAGGGAAAGCTGAATGAGTGTGCTAACTTGGGTTGGGGAGTGAAAACGGAAGGCTGTGCCGCCTGCCATCTAGTGGATGTTGGGTTGCATCACTCCCAGGCCTCCCAGGCTCCTCCTGGGCTGGGAAGGAGAATGGAGAAGCACAGGCCTTCCTTAATTCAGCTCTTTCTGTTTCTCTCTAGCTTGAACCAGGCAGAACTTTGCCATCCCCCAATGACCTCAAAAGAAAAATACTCATAAAAAACAAGCGGCTGAAACCTGAAGTTGAAAAAAGTAAGTGAAATACACACATATATAATGGAAGCAAGTATAACACGTATGGACATTTCAGCTGTTTAGAATTCAATTTATTTTAAAACCACTGATTTTAGGGGGAAGGATGTAGGGGTGATGTTACAGGTACTTTTCAGAGCAAGATTGCCACATTTCCATTTAAGTTTAATTTCCACATCAATTAATTCATGCAGTAGGAAAAGCATATTTATATATTCATATGTCAGAATTTGGAGGGGGCCCAAGGAAAAATGAGAGGAAAGTAGAAGCATTTTAGAATTTCTCAAGATACAAGGAACCAGCATTTTATAATATTACACACTCTAAAGTCCTCATAAGTTTCCCTTTTCAGTTTGCCCCTGTGCTCCAAACATATCTAGGGATACTAGGTACATAAGAGTATGTGACTGTGTATATGTGAATAAAGAGATCTAGAGACAAATGATTTTATATAGTCATGTTTCCTTTTATTCTCCCAGGATGATTTCCTTGAAAATATTTTCTTCCAGAGTATATCTTAGTTCAGTGAATTAATGGTATCAAATATTGGCATGGTTACACTGCATTTTCCCCCCAAGTATTCTAAATGAAAAATTTTAAATTATGTTAATGGCAGTTTATTTTATTACAAAAGCAATACTGCCATAGAAAAATCAAGACAATGAAAAGTATAAGAAAGTAACAGCACTAACATGTATTATACACATATTCATATACTATAGACACATGTACATAATGTACATGTCTAGGTATATACCTACATTTTTAACATAATTGAGATCATATTAATGGTACTGATTTTTAATTTTTAAAATTTAACCAGGTAAGTATACTTACATCAGCAGGATATAAATCTACATACTAACTTTAATCCTAATGTATGAAACACTATATAGAATTTAATATCTATTACGTAGAATTGTATGCATTTATTATAGCATGATGTGACCAGTCCCAAGTTGATGGATTTTCACTACTATAAACATGCTTGAATGTTATTTTGTATGTTTGTGCAACCCTCTCCTTGAAATCAATTGGTGCGATTAGAGTTATTCACCCAAAGCATATACATATTTTATATTGTGATATAGTTTGTTATACTTTCTTTTAGGAAAGTTCTACCAACTTAGACTCTTCACCAGTCATATATGAGAGTGCCTGTTTCCCACCAATATCCTTAATGCTGGCTGTTGGCCATTTTTAAATGTGTGTCCAACTCATAGAAAAAAAGTGGTACCTTAGGGGTTTTGTTATTTGTGTGTCTTTAATAACTAGTTTTTTGCATATTATGATTTGTGGTTTGTCCCTACATGTTTTCCCATTTTTATTATTTCATTTACCTTTATCTTTCTGACTTATAGAAAAATATTAGTCTTATTTTGCATAGTACGATATAATCCCAGTTAAATCCATTGCAAATATTTTTTTCCTGAGGTTTTGTTGCCAACCTGCCTATTTTCTGTCAATTCCCCATGACTGTTCATAAACCTTGGTCTGTGCCAGATTCTCCAAATTATAGGCTTTTGTTATCTAGCCTTAAATTCTTTACAAGGACTGAACCTCCTCTCAAACTTGGTGACCAGAATTTTGGTCATTTCACCCATGACCCCGCAATTCTTCATCATGTGTGTATAAGGTGGTTGTTAAGGTTTCTTACAAGGTCAAGACCACCAGGAATGGGCGAGAGAGAGATCACTGCTGAACCTTAGGAACATGGCGCACTTGGTGCCTGAACATTCTGTTTCCTCTGCCTTTTCATGTCCTCCTTCTCAGTGTCGATCTGAAGGCTTAGGGTTTGTATGTCACCTAGCATCTGTCACCATCTCTTTGCATGTTTTTGCTAACAGAACAGCTGGAAGCTTTGAGAAGCATGATGGAAGCTGGAGAATCTGCCTCCCCAGCAAACATCTTAGAGGATGATAATGAAGAGGAGATCGAAAGTGGTGAGCTGTTTGCTTTTATTTTAAGTTACATGCTTCAAAAATACTTTTTAAATAAGAAAACCAGGCTGGACACAGTGGTTCAAGCCCATAATCCCAGCACTTGGGGAGGCCGAGGTGGGAGGATTGCTTGAGCCCAGGAGTTCAAGACCAGCCTGGGCAACATTTTCATAGAGATGAGACCCCATCTCTACAAAAAATAAAAAATTAGCCAGGCGTGGTGGCCTGTGTCTGTAGTCCCAGCTACTGGAGAGGCTGAGGCATTAGGATCCTTTGAGCCCAGAAGTTCAAGGCTGCAGTGAGCTGTAATTGCACCACTGCACTCTAGCCTGGGCAACAGACTGAGGCCCTGTTTCAAAAATACATGAGTAAGAAAACCAGGAATTTCTTTCAGAAGACCCTTTTATATAATAATGCTGTTTTAATTCTTAATAGTAATATTTTGGTGTTCTTGGTATTTTGCCAAATACTTCCAATTTTTTCTGACGACTAAATTTTAATGGCCTTGTCATCTCCCTTCCTATTGGTCATTCAGCTATTCAGCAGAAATTCATAGCCAGAGAATCCTTGAGCACTTGCTGTAGTAGGCAGAGGAAACAATATAAAGAATATTTTGCAATCCCTTTCTATAGACAAAAGCATGAACTTCAGTCTTGTTAATGATGATAGTAGAGAGGCAAGTAATTTAAGAGACCCTCAGGCAAATAGCTGGTTTGTCTGCACAAAGTGAACTACAAATCCAAAGCTGGTATTAAAATTTCAAGTTCAAATTCCTTCAAATAACCAGCTCACCAGAATTATCTCTGTGAAGCTAGATAATTTTAGGAAGGCAGTCTTGCTTAAAATATTTGAATATGTGCTACTACCTTCTCTTTTACTTTGATCACATAGCAGCAATCATAATGTTCAGATGTAAATGGGTCATTTGAGAGTTTCGGGGTGATTTTAGAGAATTATTTGTTCGTTATATATCATGAGAATTGATGAACAAAATGACGAGGACTTGAGTTGGTTATACAATGCTTTGGATTTATATACAGGCATACCTTAGAAATATTGCAGATTGAGTTCTAGACCCCTACAATGAAGTAAATATTGCAAAAAAGTGATTCACAGGAATTTTTGTTTTCCAGTGCATACAGAAATTATATTTACACTGTACTATAGGCTATTAAGTGTTCAATAATAGCATTATGTCCAAAAATGTAACTTAATTAAAAAATATCTATTGCTAAAAAATGCTATTATCTAAACCTGCATCAAATTGAAATCTTTTTGTGGAGTGTCTTGCCTTGAGTGAACAGTGAAGTCGTTGCCAAAGATTGGGGTGGCTGTGGTAATTTTTTAAAATAAGACAACAATGAAGTTTGCTGCATCAATTGACCCTTCCTTTCACAAAAGATTTCTCTGTAGCATGCACTGCCATTTGATGACACTTTACCCAGAGCAGAGCTTCTTTCAAAATTGAAGCCAATCCTCTCAAACCTTGCTGTGATGCCTTCTCAACTAGGTTTATGTAATATTTTACATCCTTTGTTGTCATTTCAACAATGCTCATGGTATCTTTACCTGGAGTAGATTCCATCTCAAGAAACCACCTTTGCTCATTCATAAGAAACAACTCCTCATCTGTTTAAGTTTTATCATGAAATTGCAGCAATTCAGCCCCATGTTCAGGCTCCTTTTCAAATTCCAGTTCTCTTACTCTTTCTACCACCTTTGCAGTGACTTCCTCCACTGAAGTCTTGAACCTCTCAACGTCATCCATGGGAGTCTCCCAAACTCCTATGAACGTTGATATTTTTACCTCTTCCCATAATTGTGAGTGTTCTTAATGGCATCTAGAATGGTGAACACCAGAAGCTTTTCAGTTTACGTTGCCCAGATCCACCAAAGGACTCTCTCTTTTAGGAAGGTTAGGTGTAGAGTTAAAAATCCGAAAGCTGAAAGAATTAACTAACCTTATTCAAGACTCCTTAATAAAGACTCCTGACTGTGGAACAGACTTTATAAGTGATTCAGTTGCATGTCCAGTCCTTGGGTTTGACATTACTCCTAGAGAAAAGTCGTAATGACTGTACTTTCATTTGTTTTATGTGGCAGGGAGGGTCTAGGGGGCTAAAGATATCTGATACAACTCAGTTGATATTTGTTATTATGGTCGTCTGTTTCTATGCAATAAACCTTCCCCAAATTTAGGGGCTTATAACAATACCTTATCATTTTCTGTCATAATTCTGTGGATCATCTGGGCTCAGGTTGGTGGTTCTCCCTTGAGTTTCTCATGCTTTTGTCGGCAGATGACATCTGGGGCTGACTGGTTCCCTTGGACGGGTTATCCAGGACGGCTCGCTCACATGCTGGCGATGGATGCTGGCTGAACGCTGGGAGCTCAGCGAGGCCTTACTGACCATAGTACCCCCGTGGCCTCTCTCTGTGGTTTGGGCTTCTCACAGCACAATGGCTAAGTTCCCCAGATGGAACATCTAAGAGCCAGTGTCCCAAGAGGCAGGAAGCAGAAGCTGCTAAATTATTTAAGAGCTAGGCCTGGAACTGGTGCAGTATCATTTCCTCTATGTTTTATTCATCAAAGCAGTCTCAGGGCCAGCCCAAGTTCAAGAGGGTGAATGAGTGACAAGGTCACGTTGCATAAGAGCACAGAGGAAGGCAGATGTTATGGCAGCTGTCTTTGGAAAATATAGTCAGCCATGATACCGACTGTATTTTTCACATTTTTTGCAAATAATAAACCTAAACAAGATTTTAAAAAAATATATTGACAGAAATATATTTCAAACGATCAAGAAAATACTCCTAAGATGCAAAAAAGATGACTATTCAGTAAAACCTGTTCCTTTAATTTAAATTTCATAGATGGTAATTAAAATATGTAAGGCATTACTGATACAATAATCCAGTAAAACACACTGTAGAAATAATAGAATACATTAACAAGAAAACAATGTTAATAATAATTAACTACCATCGTTGTACCAACAGTGGACCAGGCATTTTACATTACAGCCTTATCTAATCTGTATACAGCCTGATGAAATGGGTATTACTATTATTTTGTTTGTTTGTGTGTTTGTTTTGAGACAGAGTCTCACTCTGTTGCCCAGGCTGGAGTGCAGTGGCGCGATCTCAGCTCACTGCAAGCTCCGCCTCTGAAATGGGTATTATTACACCAATTTTTCAGATGAGGGGACTAAAGCTTAGAGAGGTAACATATTTTGCACATGATCCCACAGCGGGCAAGTGATAGCACTAAGATTCAATCCCGGAGCTACCTGATTCCAGGGTCAAGACTTTTTGTACCTTACAGTACTGCCCTTTCAATTTACAGGAATATGGTAAAAACATAGATATGCAAAAATACTTTTTCAGAAAGGAGAAATAATAGAACGAATGAAAGTCAAAGATGTGTTGGTTCCTAAACACACACAGTCATGTAAAATGAGCATCAGTATGACTTCATGTATTATTAAAGGTGCTTTCCCACCATCTACATACATATGGTAATTATTCCTCCAGGCAGAAAAAGATTTGCCTCCAGTGACTCCCATGCTATTCCAAAATATACTTGAGATTTGGGTTAAGTTTTAACAGAAATAACCACATGATTTAGTATACCAGTAGGAAAGTACCTAAGGACAGAATCATCCACCTAAATGGCACAAGGCTCCTGTTACACCTGTTATGTATGTGATTCTTAGGTTGCCCCAGTAACACTTGGTTTCGGTTCTGGTCAACCAGTTGGCTGTAATTACCTTAGTACCACTGTATGAATCTACTATGTATGTGTGACTAGAGTCTCTAATTTAAATACATCAGCATAGCAGGCAAGGGGAAACCAAGCATAGTTCAAGAGGGGAGGCCTGCCTGGAGGCTGTAGAAAATAGAAAAGGCTTTCAGTCAGTGAAAACAGGTGCCCAGGCATTAGGTTGGATTTAGATTCAGAAGGACACATGGCTGCCAGGATAGGAGACAAGTAGTGGGGAATATCAAAATTGTATGTGGTTATAGGTGTGTCTGTGCATATATGCACACTCAGAAAGTGATCATGTATTCATACAATTCTCTTAAAGTGGTTATTGAGTCTCTACCACTTGTTTGGAGCATGTCCCTTGCCTTCAAGTCATTTACTTCTGTATGGGCAGTTTAGACTAGACATACACGAAATGAAAATTTAATAGTGACCTGAGAAGTTTGAAATCTTGGTTACTGACTGTAGGTCATGGAAACCTAGTCCTGGAAGAATTGTGCTAAGAATTCAGGAGACAGGTAGACCCATTATCTTGCTCTGTGATTTCAGACAAGTAAAATCATATCTCTGCATCTATTTCCTCGTTTATAAGTAAAGACAGATGCTAGATTAGATTCTTTTAAGACGTATTCCAGTTCCTCAAATCCTTTTCTTCCTGCCTAAGCCTTACAATGACCCAATTTTTGTTATTGTTGTTGTATGGATTTTGTTTTTTTAATTGTCTGCCTCTAGAATATCCCTTCATCAGAATTATTAGCTCCAGACGAGGAAGGTGGCTGTTTCTTTCCCTCACCCTCTTCCTATGCCTGGAGAGATACTTCACAAAATAAAACAGTCTATCAGGAAATTCTGAATCCAGATACCACCAGTTGAAAGATATCACTGTTTTATCATGACTAAGAAAGAAAAAATAGTTTCCATTCACTGGAAAAAACCATCAGTTGAAGAACATATTACAACATCAGAAATATTAAAATACAACAAAGTACATCTCAGAATCAGTGAAATCATTTTTCATTTACTCCTGTTCTTTCATTCTCCTTTGTACTTTTAAACATGCTTTAAAAAAAATCTCTCTCATTCTTATGGGTCTGCTCATCTCCTTTATGAGTTTATTCTCAGAAATTATTTTAGTGGGTTTTTTTTTTATTTGTTTTTACAGTAAAGTTCCCTCATGCCCTGTGGTGTGACCATGTGGATTTGTATTGTCCTCATCCTGAGGTCTATGGGTTTCTCCTGATGCTGGCTAGATTTTAGGCAAATTCTTTGTCTGGGAATTACTACAAATGGTAATTGTGTGAATCCAAATCTCACCTCAGCATGTTGTACATTTTCCAGCAGGTAGTTCTTTTTTTTTTCCCACGAACATCCTGGGTGGATTCTGTCATTCTTGTCACTTTCCTGGACCAATGAACACAGTGTGTGTGCTTCCTTTCACAGACTAGACCATGCTCCAAGGACACCAGCTTTATTTGGCACCCACTTCCATTTCTCCTCCTACTTGAGCCTGACAAATGAGCCCTGAGCCTTTGAAACCTACGCTAATTTGACAATTAGTTTGCAGGAGTAGCACAATCCTTCTGAGGCCTTTCCTTTCTCTACCACTCCAGGCTATCAGTCTTTATGCCCATAACATTCAAGTGGACATTTTAGTCTCTTTCAAAATTATCTGATGTATTTTTTTTCTTCCATCTTCTTATTTTCTGTAGATGTCATGAAATATCAAAACACCCTTTTGTGAGTCACAGATATTCCTGCAGTGTTTGAGGCTTTCATTTTTAGAATTAGTGTACTAGGATAGAAGTAGCCATCCAGTTAAGAAAAATTTATTAAGCATCAAGCATGTCAAACCACATTTTAGGTGCAGGAGAAATAATACATGACAAGATGTGCTCCTTGACCTTGAACAGGTAAGAGTTTAGTGAGAGTTTTACTTGAAAAAATACTGCATATATAAATGTCCCCATTTTCTTTTGGCATCCTTTTTCTCTAAAAGTGCTTATGTTCTACCCAAGATTGTGAACAAGGTCTGACTACTTGGCAGTGGTTTGGCTTCATGGATTTTCCATTTGTCTTTCACACAGCTGACCAAGAGGAGGAAGCTCACCCTGAATTCAAATTTGGAAATGAACTTTCTGCTGATGACTTGGGTCACAAGGAAGCTGTTGCAAATAGTGTCAAGAAGGTCAGAGTTCCCTTTCTTTCATCACTCTCAAGAGGTAGCAGCTGTTATTTATGAAATTTTGGCAATGTGAGAACCACAAGAGAATAAAGTAACCTATAATTCCCCTTCTAAATTGCTTAGGATACAAGTCTGTGCTGGGTGACCAGAACTTGACACATACACAATATTAAGTTTAAAAGGAAATGTAAATTACTCATTAGTCAGAGTCAGTGTTAACCACTACCCATTTGGCCAGTGTCCTCTAAATATTAACATTTATTGTGTTATTGTAGCTGGGGAGGGAGAAAACGACAGCATCCCAGGGGTAAGGTTTAATCTTGAATTCATCAGGAAAATGACCCCTGAACATCCTGAGTCTAGCCCTCATTCAAGAACTAGTCCTGCTAATTATATACCTTCCTCCTAAAGTAGAGTAAGCATAAAAATGTTTCCAAATATTCAGCCAAAGGAAATAGTTATTCATGTACTTACCTTTTGTCAGGCATAGTCTAGGCCGTAATGACCTAACAGGGTAAAACACACTTGCCTTCTGCCCTTAGGCAGCTCATGGCTCCCTGTAGTTTAGGGAAAGGGATCAGAAACAACAAAGAAACAAGTAGTCAAATAACCATATAATTACAACTTGTGATAAGAGCAATTGTGAATATAAACATGAGTGCTGAAGAATAATGAAGTAGAAAGAATAAGGAAACCAGAATGCGAAGGGTCAAGAGGAATTGGCCATGCACAGAGATAGAGGAATCACTTTCCATGTGGAAGAACCACAATAACAACAGCAAGGGCTGTGAGTAGAGTGGCTTGAGTGAGAGTGGAGTGAGACAAGAGGAGATGGGGCAGGTAGGTGGGAACTGGGTGATGTAGGATTTTGGAGGCTATTATGAGGAATTCAAATATTAAGTGAAACGTGACACTACTGAAAAAGTTTAGAAAAGGGGGCAGTGTAGCCTGATTCAAGTTTTAAAATATTGCTGTGGTTGCCATATGGAGACTAGTTTAGGAGGAAACAAGAGTGGAAGCAGGAAAAGCAGTGAGGACAGGCTGCTGCTCTAGGCCAGACAAGAGTCCCCGATGGTCAGACCAGACAATGGATACAGAAAGGACTGAGTGGCTTCAAGACATGTAGAGAAATGGGACAGCCTACTGATGGATTTGGAATGTGGGAATGAGAGAGAAAGAAGTGAGATGACCCTCTAGTGTTCTTGTTTGAGGTACTGGGTAGGTGGTGGTACCATTTACTGGCATGGGGAAGACCGAAAGAGAAAGAACTCAGGAGCTGCAAATGGGATGACTATTTGAGATGCCTGTTAAGTATTCAAGGGGAGGTGTTCATATAGCATTGCCATCTGACTCTCTCTCTGGGTTCATTTCCTAACTGTCTAACTTTGGGTAAGTTACTTAACCTCTGTGTACCTTAGTTTCCTCATCTGCAAAGTGAAGACGATAACACCTATTTCATGGGGTCACTGTGAAGAGTGGATGGTTTGTGACATGTCAAGAGCTTAGCGTGGTGCCTGGCACATGGTAACTCCTGTAAAGGTATTAGTTGCTGGTATATTATCATCCTTTTCATCTTTATCATTGTCATTATCCTCATGATCACTGGCGTCATCATCATGCGTATATAGAAGACAGGTTGAGCTAGAGATACAAGTTGGGAGTTCAAGAGATCGTATTTGAAACAATGGAAATACTGAGATGATTCACAGGGAAAGGTGGAAAAGAAGGTCCAAGTGGAGCCCTAGTTAAAGGTGGAGCCAGAAAAGAAGAGCAAGATATGGCCAGAGAAGTAGGAGGGAAATTAGGCAGTGACACCAAGAAAACCAATAAAGAGGACAGTGTTAACAGAAGGACTGAGTGGTTGACTGTAGAATATGTTAAAAATCTTAGACAAATTAAATTTAACAGAGTTTAGTTAAGCAAAGAACAATTCCCAAATTGGGCAGGCCCCAAACCAGAAGAGATTCAGAGAGACTCCAGTGCAGCCACGTGGTGGAAGATTTATTGACGGAAAAAGGAAAGTGACCTACAGAAAACAGAAGAGAGGTACAGAAGCAGCTGGATTGGTTACAGCCTTATTTGCCTTATTTGAACAGAAGTTGAATAGTTGGCCACTTTTGATTGGCCACCTTTAGTTGGCCACCTTTGATTGGCTGAAACTCAGTGATTGGCACATGAGTAGGTTACAGCCTGTTTACACATTCATTCAGTGTACAGTTTACTATGTGAAAGTTTATGGAAAGTTTATGGACAAACCTTTAGAATATGTAAAGAGACAGCTTTAGGCTGAACTTAATTTAACAGATGCTACTGACTAAGAAGACTCAAGAGTGTCCTTTGGGTTGTTAGCATGGAGGTCATTAGTAACCTTAAAGAGACATTTCAGTGGAGTGCCAGACAGGGTAGTGACACTGGATCACATAGATATGAATGACTAGAGACTATGATTTTGAGAAGTTTTGCTGTGAAGGGGAGCAAGAAATGGACTGGTGGCCAAGGGCACCCGAAGAGTCAAGGGAGTGTTTTTGTTTGTTTGTTTTAGTTTTTTTGTTTTCGGATGAATGAATCTGGAGTGTGTTTGCAAACTCGGAAGTGGTGCAGTAGAGAGGAAGAGATTAATTTTGCAGGAAAGAGAGGGGATAACTGCCTGGAATTCCTTGAGAAGGTGGAAGAGGGTGGGATCGCTATGGTGCGAAGGTGTGGCCCTTCACAGGAGCAGGAACACCTGGTTAGTGAAGACAGTGGATGAAGATGCAGGTAGGAAGATACATTTGGTGATAGGAAGAGGAGAGAGTATCTGTCTGATGAGCAAAGCCAAAGGAATATTGCCTTTACACCCTACCTTTTCTAATACAGGGAATTGTGACTACTTTGAGAATATTGAATGCCTATTAAGACTCAAGAGTATTGTTTAATATAAAACTTAGCCAGGTACCATGGCATGCGCCTGTAATCCCAGCTACTCAGGAAGCTGAGGCAGGAGAATTGCTTGAACCCGAAAGGCAGAGGTTGCAGTGAGCCAAGATTGTGCCACTGCACTACAACCTGGGCAACAGAGCAAGACTCTGTCTCAAAAAAAAAAAAAAAATGGTTGCTAAAGCCTTCATCAATATTGTCTTAGTGTCTTAGTCAGTTGGGGCTGCTATCACAAAAATACCATTGGCTTAAACAACTAAAAACTATTTGTAACCATTCTGGAGTCTGAGAAGTCTAAGACCAAGGTTTCACCCAATCAGTTCCTAGTGAGGGGGGCCCTCTTCGTGGTTATGTCCTCACGTGGTAGAGAGAGAATAAGGAGGCAAGCTCTCTCTTGGCTTGGCCCTCATGACCAAATTACCTCCCAAAGGCCCCATCTTCAAATGCCGTCACAGTGAGGTTGAAGATTTCAGTATATGAATTTGGGACGGTGTGGGGGGCTGCACCAGTGTACAGTCCATAGCAAATAGCCAGACATGAATGCTGAGTTCCTCAAGAGTGACCCTTCATGCTGCTTTTCCCAAGCCCCATGACTAAAGCACTAAGTAAATAATTATAATAAAACATCTAAGTAGGTAAAAACTGTCCACAAATGAGGGAAAGAGCATTAAGATTAGCCCTTCTGGTGCATAAAACCATAAGGCCATCCATGGCTTTTTTTCATCAATAATGCCCCACCTTAGCAAATAAATAGAATAACAAGTTTACCTATACTTATTTAAGTATCTATGTATGTATGGCTAATAAATTTGGAATTTTGCCCTTTAGAGGAGTAAACAAATTATTTCCTTTCTCTAATTAGGCCTCAGATGACCTTGAACATGAAAACAACAAAAAGGTAACAAAATAATTCCCTTGCCTATTTTAAATCAGATGCATCTAATTTAAAACATCTTCAAAGGAAGGAATTAATTGTGGTGATAAAATGATTAAATCCTGATAAAAATCACAAAACTAGGGCAGGTGAGTAAGATGATTTTCCTAAAAGTAGGTATTTAATCCAGTAAGGCATTTTCTTCATTGGAATTAGAGATTTTGTTCCTGTAGTGGAACGACATGATCATCAGCATATTGAATTTGAACATAAAAATGAGCAAATAGGTCATCAAATCCATATTGTAGCATAATAGGAGAATCTTAATTCCCGGTACACTGACATTCTGGAAGATTACTGATTAATTTTACACTGCATAACTTCTAGGAGTATTACTTGATGTTATTAGATATTGGCCTTATTGTAGGGAAGATAAAGTTACATTTTCACTTTCATTCTCTTCGAAGTTCTTTATGATGATCAAAGTGGTCTTATTTAGTAAGTATTATGGTTTATCCTACAACAGTGAGACTGACAGCCACAGGCAGAAGTTTGCCTTATAACTTCATTCTCATACTTCAGAGCTTGAGAAAATACTGCCTTGCTGCCTATGGGGTCCTCTGCTATTTGGAGTTGAGATCCTATCTTCTAACCCCTAAATATTAAATTTGAAAGAATTATGAATAAATATAGTCACAGACCTGTCCCAAAATATTTGTGAGTACTTTACTCTCTTGTTCTAGAATCTCATCATTCATAATTGGAGTCAACAGTGTACAGATTGACATTCGGTCATTGCCATTTATTAGCTAAGTTATTTTAATTCTCAAGGCGTCACTCTTCTCATGTGGTCAGTGGGTAGGACTCTAATCCCCACTACACATCACAGACAGTAATGAGACCGTGCGTGCAAGAACTCATGCTGGTGCCCAGCACACAGCACTGGTGGTATTTCTTCTTATTATCAAACACACATGGAAGGAACAGACATGGCCGTTGTTTGGTGGGGGAGCAGGAGGACGCATGAAGAAAATGATAAAAACAAAAACAAAACCAAGTTACGTTACTTGATTATTATTTCAGGTTTTTATTGGTGAAATCAGTTTGATAATTTAGAATGCTCAAATTGTTAAGTCATCAATTAAGACAAACAAGTCGTCTGACCATTTTTTAACTCATGGATTACATCATGCAACTAAGGAATATATCCAACTAGATTCACTCTATGCAGGAAATTTAGCTTTGCAAAGTTCTCAGCAAAAATATTGATCACTTTTGAAGGTATTATTTTTGTTGTTGGTTTTGTTGTTGTTTTTTCTATCAAGAAATAAACTAATCTGTTTTTTTTTTCTGTATGCAAAGTAATGCGATTTCAGTATGTTCTATGCAGCAAGTTATTAGATTACTTTTAAGATTAAGTGCTTTTTAAAATACTATATACCATGTGTGTATGTGGCTTACATTCTAGAGTGCTACGGTGAAACATAGTCACCAAAGAGGCAGCATCATTAGCACCTGGGAACTAGGTACAGCAATGACTGGCCTCACTGCAGACTCACTTCAGCAGAAACTCTGAGTGTGGGGCCCAGGAATCTGTTTTAGTTTAAAACGCCTTCCAGATGATTCTGATGCACGCTAATGTTCAAGAGACACTGTTTTTGATGTTGTGCCTCAATTTGTAAAAATATGAGTAATACCTGCTGTATCTATTTCATAGCATTGCTGTGAGGTCCAATATAGTAATTCCTTTTTTTTTTTTTTTTTTGAGATGGAGTCTTGCTCTGTTGCCTGATCTGGAGTGCAGTGGCACAATCTCAGCTCACCACAACCTCTGCCTCCCGGGTTCAAGCGATTCTCCTGCCTCAGCCTCCCAAGTAGCTGGAATTACAGGCTCACGCCACCACACCCAGCTAATTTTTGGCATTTTTAGTAGAGATGGGGTTTTGCCATGTTTGCCAGGCTTGTCTTGAACTCCTGGCCTCCCAAAGTGCTGGGATTAAAGGCGTGAGCCACCATTCCTGGCCAGTAATTTCTTGAATATTTTAAAGTCCCTTAAAAATCTAAAAATATCCTACAAATGTAAGATCAGCTTAATATTTTATGATTACCTCCTTTTGCATTATTTAGACCTACAATAGACACTAACTTCTCTTAAAGTATCCTTTATATAATTGAGGAAGAAAAAGTCTTTAGCTTTCAATTTTTGTGTGTGCAATTACCTTTATTAAGGAAATCTGCAGCACATATCCATGGGTCCTACTGAAGTCATCGACTTATATGTTTTCTTCCTTGTGCTTGTAGGGCCTGGTAACTGTAGAAGATGAGCAGGCGTGGATGGCATCTTATAAATATGTAGGTGCTACCACTAATATCCATCCATATTTGTCCACAATGATCAACTACGCCCAGCCTGTAAAGTTTCAAGGTTTCCATGTGGCAGAAGGTAACACCAAAGGTTAAATGCAATCGCCTTTTTTGCTTGATTTTCTTTTATGGTGCTAATAAGCTTGTATCTAACTTGCTGCCATTTGTCTTTGTGGGCATGGGAGCTGTTCCACCTCACCTTATGTTTGTTTCACAGACCATAGAAGCCACCTTGGTATGTGGGTGATATTACATTGTCATTCATGACCTCACCCACAAGGTGGCGCTGAAAGACTATGGATTTGTTAGTGCTGGGCCATGTAGCCTCTTCTGTTCCCACGTGCATTCACAAGACCCCTTTTAATCAAAAGCTGGTTTTCAAAAAAACATAAGAAGTATTTAAAAACTTCATTTCTGGGCTAGAGAAGCCATCATAATCATCATCATAAAAAATTCATGTTTCAGGGATAACTGTGGCAATTGGGGTACATGTAATTTCTCTAATGACTCCCAGTTTAAATCAGCACTTTTTTTTTTTTAAAGACAAATGTCTCCATCCACAGGATGTCAATGAAAGTAAGAGCTACTAACATGATAATGTAGCATTAGCCTCCAAGGCCTCGTGATTCAGGGTGTAATTGTATTTATTTATTGCTGTTTTTCGCTGAGGGTTTGATGACAGGGTTCCTGACTCCATCTTTGCTTTTCTTTTACAGAACGCAATATTCATTATAACATGTCTTCTTTTAATGAATCAGTCGGTCTTGGCTACTTGAAGACACATGCAATTGAATTTGTCAAGTATCCTTATGTATCAAGTGGAATGAGTGGTTGACTCACGTTGGTTTGGCAGGAGCCTCTGAAATAGATAAATGGCTAATGTATCATTCTGATGGTAGAGTTAATAAAATGATATGTGGGAAAGACCATGGCAGCTGTGACAATCTGCCCAAATGAAAACTGTTTTTATAATCCACACAGTGAACTGTGATCTTAAGCATCATTTGTAAATGTGAAATTTGCTGTGTGCTGTCTACTCGTTTGTTGTTGTTGGCCTAGACCTTTGTTGTTGTAGCTCTTTGTTGTTTATTTTTCTCTGCTGTAGGACTCTTTTTTTCTGTTTTCCTTAATAAGTTACACAGTTATAACAAACGGCAAATGAGTCGCATTTACCCCAAGGGAGGCCGAGTCGATTCCAGTAATTACATGCCTCAGATTTTCTGGAACGCTGGCTGCCAGATGGTTTCGCTGAACTATCAAACCCCAGGTAGGAGCTGATGTCCAGTGACCCCAAATTCCATGAGAACACTTTGACAGGATAGTGCCAGCACTTCCCATCAGTTGGCTGTGGGCATTTTTTAAAGGAAGCAGACATATGGCAAAGCAATGTGTTATTGGATTTATATAATGGTGAGAAATTTTAAAAAAACCCAAAATAGAGCAAACAATGGTAGAATATAATGTGTTGTGATTGAAATTTAATTCCTTTCATAAGTGCCATGAGTATTCCTGCTAACCATTATCCCGTATTCCAAAATATTGCTCATTTGTCTTCCTTTTGGATCAAAGTTGTTATCTTTGTTTCCAGAGGCAGAATTAAGTGAAAAGAATTTGAGTATCTTTGTATAGCAACAGCGACTCATTTCTTCTTTGGCAAATACCCTGACCACTGTGAACATTCAGCAAATATGACTGACGCAGTGGCACTTCACCAAAGAAGTACAGAATATTTTGGAGTAAACTCCCCTAAAATGGTGTATAAGGAGTTACGTATTTGAAGAGATACTAATCTATAACTTGGTCCTCCAAAGTGTACTCAAAGACAGGTTTCCAATATATAATGACTTTCTTTTTTCTGGAAGGAAAAGAGTAAATTTTTATAATTGCATAAACAAATTTTTAAAGTTTTTGAGGTTTGCTTAAGAGCCTAAGATCACAGTATTAAGATTAGAGGTAGCAAAACAGAAATAAAATAGATAGAAATATGCCACAAAACCTATTCACTGTATATGGTCAATTCTACAGCATGGTTCTTACAATTGGTGAAATAAAACAAAACCAGAAAACGCTTTTTTCCTTCAATTCTTTGCTACATAAGAGTATTGCCCATGCTTCCCAATTTGAGAATTTTTTTAAATCTATTTTGTGTTTTAAGAATCCCTGTCCACCTTGTTCCCTGCTATCTGGACTGAGTGGAAGGTCCTTTGACTTTCATTCCTTCAGCATGAGTGTGAGTTGACTACTTCCCATGCCCTGAGGGAGCCTCCCCAGTGACCGGAAGCTCCTCCTACTGGAGTCGCCATTCTGCATGGGGTCGCCACAGTGCTTGCTAGGTTAGACTGTGACGTGATAGGTACCAGTACAATCCCTGAGTGTTTCTAGCTGGGGTCCAGTAACAAGGCCCTGATGACCTCACTTACTTCAAAAGGGGCCAACTTGTGTTCTCAGTTGTCAATGAGTTCATAATATGGATTAAATGGCTCTAAACAGTTTATTCACTAGGCCAGCTTATGTTTTATTCTATAATATTAGGTTAAACACAACATTTTGAAGAGGAAAAAATATCCATCAGTTTGCCCATTTCCTTTGCTGATGGGAAGAAAGAAAATATTTTATTCACTTGCAAGAGAAAAGTCACAAGCCATGCACTGCCAGCGTAGACCCCACTGGAAGAATTCCCCCTGCGTCCCATCGTGGAAGCGTGCCACCGAGTTTTATGAGATACTTAGCTAGCTCATTTTCAAATCTTTTAAATCAAGTTTCATGTTCACCCTCCCGGGTATCTCCAGTGTTCCTCTGCCCGGGGATCCTGAGACCCATCCTCTCCCACTGTAGCAGGTTGGATATCTCTGCTCTCAGTACTCATCGAACAATGGTATGACTCCGATATTGAATCCGTTTTTAAAAGTGACCTTTAGCATGGTCTTTATGAAAACACATTTTATGTTTAATTTAAATGAAACATGCGGTCACTTCGACATGGAAGAGAGTATGCCTTAAATAGACCATGCGGTCAGTTCGACATGAAAGAGAGTATGCCTTAAATAGACCAAGCAGAACCTTGTAGTATTAAAGAGGGACCAGGGCCTAGGAGCAATCTGATACCTATTGTTTGAAATCACCCCATCAGGGTCTTTTTTGTCTAGGAAGACAAGATGCTAAATTATTTTTGTCTCTTGACAGATTTAGCGATGCAATTGAATCAGGGAAAATTTGAGTATAATGGATCGTGCGGGTGAGTAATGTGATTTAAACTGTTATCTAGATTTAGAACTCCATACTACAGCCATAATGAAGCCATGTCATTTTCAATTAGAGACTGCAGAATTTAAGCTGGGTTTGAGGGATGGAATAGAAGCAAATGAAATACCTAGAGAATAGGCTGGGCGCGGTGAGAATATTTGCAAATATACATTCTTCATCTACCTCATTTTACTAAGCAGGTTTTGGATTTTTTTAGTCACAAATGAAGCAGTTCATACATATCCTAGAGTTTAATCCTCTCACTTTAAAATCAATAGTGGAGGAGATTATTACAGGACAGGTAATAATCCCTGCACACTTGGACATTCACTGGAGATGTAGGCCTTAAATATGTGCATTTTACCTAGGACAAATCAAGTAACGAAGTTAATTTCATATGTAATGAAGTTGTGTGTGTCAAACTGAATTTCATTCAGTTGGGAATAAACCTTTGTCCTCTATTGATTCTTTGTTGTTTCTTCTAAGTAGCAGTTATCAAAGAATAATGCTGTGAATATTATCCTAGTTTCCTTAAATAGCAATCTTGAAAACTGAACCAAGAAGTGAAATAGGAAATGTCAATTTCACGGAAACACTGAAAGGTTAAATGAAAATATAAAATTAGAATTCTCTAGAGATAAAAAAAGAAAAACTATGTGGTCATCCCCTCACTCCACCTCGGCCTCATGCATCTGTCCCCAAGCAAGTAAATATTGATAACTCCAGACCACTGCCCAAAGGCCTCTAGAGGAATCCAATGGAAAACCATCCCGTCATAATGATGCCATTAGGAATTTCTTCATGGTGGCTCACCTGATTGGATGTCTTAATTTTTCTCACTGAAAACTGCCAGTCAAGATAACATTTTTCAGCAGTTGTGAGTTAGAAATGACTTTTCAACGTGCACACTCCCTCCCTCTGCCTGCCTGGTGAATGGTTCTCTGCCAGTATGGCTGCCCACACGGTGACCATGCTATTCCCCAAATCACCCACCACTTACATACCTGGAGCATGCCCTACATTTTCCTCTGCTGTGTGTTCTTTGGAAGAAAAAAATGCGTGTAGTTGGGAAGAGAAAGTTCTGAATTCATATTTCAGAATTTTGTGAAAGCAATTTTGTTATTTAATGCCAACTGTTCCAACCCAAGAGATTTTTCACATAAATTGCTTCGCAGGCCTCTTCCTCTCACAAGTAGCGGGCCGAGGCATAAAGTCCCAGGGCTTCTGTGAGTAAAAGCCCTAGGCTGGGAGTCTAAAGATCAGGGTTTGAACTCAGCTCCCAGCTGCCCCTAGTGCTTTCTGTGTTGCCTACAGCAGGTGTGTTAGACTCAGAACCTCTCTTCTCTGCTTGGTAAAATGAAGACGGTGACACCTGCCACACAGGGTTTGTTGTACTCAAAGGAAAAAAAAAAATGTCTTTTTTTTCTTGAACAAAACAGGGAACTAAAAAAGACTTTGTCCTTTGACAAAAACCGAGTCCTTTCTGATGAGACCCACCTTTGGGTTTCCCTGTCAGTCACTGTAGAATCCAGTTTGAGCAAGAATCGTGCTAATTCAGTTTAGGGAAAATCCCTAGCCCTTGGTATCTGACCACCCTGGATATCCTGTCACCTTGGCCTGCCTTCAGCAATAATCCTATCAAGTCAGTTTGGCCAGAAATCTTTATCCTTCATGTTTCCTCACAGAAATTTTCCATCTGCTGGCCCTTACCCTACTCCATGGTTCTCAATCTCCATGTATGCTGGTTGAGGTTAGATTTGAGCCCTTATACCTATCGCCACGGCTCCCTATCCCCTTGAATAAAGTCCACTTTACCATGTTTAACAAGTGTTTGGGTACATTTTTTTTTCTTTAACAGTTTACAACAGCTCAGGTTGAATGAATGTGTACAAAAGTACTTCAGGAACTGCACATTTCTGTGCAAAAGTGAGATTTAAGAAAAGCTTAAGGCCCTGTGATCAATCACACACACAGATATTACAAAATTCAAGGAGTGCTCTGTTCAGTCGTCCTTTAAGGACCCCAGGGAGGCAGCCTTGGCACTCCTGGCTCTTACAGGACCCGTCGGGCATGGCTGTGCTCACTTCTGGAACCGTGCAGTGGCCCAGTGATGCTTAAAGCACTTTCCTCGCCCACCTCAGTGATCACACCTAAGGTGCCATCAGCTGTCCAACATGCAATGAGGAATCCTGGCAGCTGGGCCTGATGCAGGGAGTAGAATTGTTTCTGTATTAAAAAAAAGTCCTGACAGCTGGGCACGGTGTCTCACACCTATAATCCCAGCACTTTGGGAGGCTGAGGCTAGCAGATCACGAGGTCAGGAGATCGAGACCATCCTGGGTAACACACTGAAACCCCGTCTCTACTAAAAATACAAAAAATTAGCCGGCCAGGTGGCGGGTGCCTGTAGTCCCGGCTACTTGGGAGGCTGAGGCAGAAGAATGGCGTGAACCCGGCAGGCGGAGCTTGCAGTGAGTGAGACTCCGTCTCAAAAAAAAAAACAAAACAAAAACCCACAATAAGATACCATCTCACACCAGTCAGAATGGCTATTGTTAAAAAGTCCTAGAGTTTCTGCTTAGCCATCATTAGCATGTGCAGTATCTCACTCTCTCCACCGTTATTTATTTATTTTTTTCTTAAGACAGGATTTCGCTC